GCTGGGGGGGGGGGGGTGGAGCAAAGGGGGGATGCAAATGCAAGCATTGGCTCCCAGGTGCCAGAGACACACGGTACGTCACTGTACCTAAGTGCCTAAACTGTGGAATAAAATCTGATTCTGACTCTAGCTCTCTTCACCCTTGGCATTGTTCTGTAGGATCTGATTCTTTGCCTGTCTTCCATTTTTTCCAAGTTTGTTCTACCTTGCATTAAGACACGCAGCTTCAGGCCCTTGGTTCCTTCTGTTGGTCTCCAGGCATAGGTAAGTGTTAGTCATTTATGGAAGTAAGTCAGCCTGGCAGATCAGGTTTGACCTAATCATTCTGGGTAATATCTCTGCAATTAACGAAGAAGTGAACCGGGATTATGAAAACACAGAAAATATAGGCAAACAGATGTTTTCAGTTTTAAACTTAGCTAATGTTCTGCTACAGCTATGTTTAAAAAGTATGGGTGTAATAAAAACATTCTTTAAAACTAGAGGCCCACAGAGACCAAATACACAGTGAATGATGGAAAACCTTTAGTTTTCATCACCTGGTTTTGTTGAAATAGTCATTGGCTTTTTTCACTACTTGCCCTGTGCTTTTTATTCTTTACCTTGTGTCTGGGTTTCAACCCAGGAGTTAATCTTCTGTCTGGCTGCTTCAGTGGCATTCTTGAAGTCGCCTGTTTGCAGTACTGCTCCATAGAGTTCCTTAGTGCAGTCAATGTAGTTCTGTAAATTAAACCCATGATCCAGTTACTCCAAAAGAAATTGAGCGACTGAAGCCAATTTAGGGGGAAGAAAGAGAAGGAGAAAGAAAAGGAAGAGAACAACCCCTATGCTACCACTATCTATTTGTTGGGATATAGTGACAAAGCAGTTAAAGGTGTTCCAGGTCCAGAGATAAGAGTTTGAACTTGTTTTAGATTCATGCCAAAGGCAATCTCTAGTAGACCTGGCTGTAAGTGACAGGGAAGTCTAAAGTAGTTGATGTTATGCTAACCGTATCACTCATTTGTGTGCCATTGCTTATAGAAACTGGGATGTCTTACCCATGCTAGCCCAATGGGCTGTTAGGCTCCTGTGGACCTTTGCCTTTGATTACCATCTGTTCAGAGATTAATTTTAGAAGGAAGGAAGATCTTTTACTGACAACATCAAGAATTAGACATTTATTCAGAAGTAGAATACTCTGTTTTATAATCATAAAACACTACAATAGTGTCCTAACTGTGGAGAACTACTCCATAAAATATAAGTAAACTAAGAACTAGAGCAGTTATATATAAGAATGTTGTTGTTTATGGGCTGGAATCCAAACCAATCAACAGAACGACAAGCAATATATCAACATTGCAGTCAAGGTGTACCTGCATTTTAGGTAGGCATGTCTAGGCTGACTAAACTAACTGATCTAGTTGTATTCTGAAACCTCATTGCAGGCTGCAAATCTGACTTGAGCAGTTGGGTAAATACTCAGGTGGTTATTCACATGGAGTTCTTTGTTGCCATCCTCAGGGGCAGATCCAGAGGGGGTGCAGTGGCACAGTCTCACCTCCCCTTTCAGACCACTGCCACAGGAGCTAGAGCCAGGGACTTTTTTTTTAAATTGCTGAAGCACTCCTGCGCCACTCTGGCTGGGCTGCACTGAGGCCAAGCTCAGCCAGGGACAGCAGGAATGTGGTTGGGGTTCCTCCCCCTCCCACCCAATGTTCCTGGGTGTACCCTGACAGCCTGGAGCCAGGCTTGCAAAAGAACCAGCCCCCGTCCTCAACTGGTGCCACTGCCACTGTTCCCAGCTGGGCCTGGCCCCCTGCACAGCCTGGCTGGAGCAAGTCAGGAGTGCCTCTGGAGCTTCCCCCACCCTGGCTCAGCTGGAGACAGCAGCAGCAGTGGGTGGGGGAAGAGGAGGAAGCAAGTGGATTCTGAGCAGGAAGGGAAGAATTCCTACTTGATTCAGGGACTTAAAGTCCCTGGCAGCTGCTCCTGTGGCATGGTCTGCCTATCTCTGTAAAGGGAGCGGGCTTGGAGAGGGTGTACATCCATGCCTGTATCACAGGTTGCTGCCCCTGTATCCCCTCTTACAAAATCCTGAGTCTACCCATGCCATAGCTATACTACTATTGCTACCGAGCTAGTCTGTGTGTGTTTAAACTAGCTACAGTCATATTTTTGAACACCATGTAGACATACCCCAAAAGGAAAAAAACTCCTGACATTGAAGGGGAAGACATTCAAACGCTGAAATGGGACATAGGTATCCAATGGCCATACAAGCATAAATGGATCATTGAAAAAGGAAAAAACATTAAGAATCTTGGGTTCTTTTTCTTTTCCTCTTTATTTCTGAGTCTGAATGGTACACTTGGGCCCCACTTTCGAATTTTGGGGGGGGTTTCTCCTCTGCAGC